AAAGACGTTGGAATAATAGCGTAAGGTGTTGATAATGTTCATCTACGTTTGATGATGCGATCAGCAGGTCATCAATATAGACGTGAACAAAATCCAAGTCTCGTACTATGCTATCGATAAACCTTTGGAAAGTTTGAGCAGCATTCCGTAATCCAAATGGCATTCGTAGGAACTCAAACAGACCGAACGGAGTCGTGATAGCAGTTTTTTCGGCTGTCTTCAAGAGCGACTGGGATCTGGTGATATGCTCGTACCGGATCGATTTTAGAAAAGATAGTCGTGCCCTTGAGCGATGCCGTGATGTCGTGTATGTGGGGGATGGGGTAACTATCAAAGCGCGTAACTACGTTTGATGCTCGGTAGTCGCCGCATGGTCTCCAACTAACCCCATCCTTTTTGCGCACCATGTGTAAAGGAGAGGCCCAAGGACTGTGAGAAGGACGAATAATACCAGTAGATAGTAAATTGTCAAACTCACGTTTAGCGAAGGCTAATTTGTCCGGTGCCAGTCGGCGTGGTCTTGCCGTGACTGGTGTTCCGCGGGTGACTATGTGGTGTACCACACGATTGGTCACCGATTAAATCTCCTCGAGTGGTTTAGTTATTCTGGGGAATTTCTCGAATAAGGCGTGGAATTTATCGTCACGCGAATAAAAAGTGCCGAGGATTCGGTACGCGTACATCGGAGTCTATTATATTAATACTATTCTTATCGCTATCCGTCATGTCGAGTATATTATATATTAAAAATTAATATAAAAATATACGACAGACGTGGATAGATAAAACAATAGACTCACCGAATTGCCTTCTTTGGAAGATTTGACCGAGGTTGAGACTTGTTCCCAGATTTGGCCCACCAATTGTAGTGTGGTGTCGAGTTGAGCTTAACTATGAACACCGCTACAAGACTACGTGCCAATAGACCAATAAGATTCCGGTAGGCCAAAAATCAGAAGGCAGATGATAGTAGTAGTCGTAATATATTTGTTGGCAATCTCGTGGTATCGAAAGAATACCGAGATCGTGCCAAAGGAGTACAGGTGCGATCGGCAAGAAAAGATACGTGCGTAGTCAAAAACCGCGTAGAAGCAATGGAAAACAATTGAAGACTAAAATGGCTGTTATTAGCACAGTTAAACAAACGAGCACAGTAAAACAGTCACTGGTACAATTGGTTATAATAATAATTGTTTTCATCGAACCAATCGCGTTCTGTTGACAAAAGTAGGTCACTACATATGTAGCGGTAAATAAATCCCCAAAATCAACAGCTCTGTAAGTCTTCGACATTTGATGTTCACCACATTAGTTTTAATGAACGTACCTGGATGAAGGTGCCTGATCGTGCATCCACACCAGATCAAAAATGGGAACGCCGTACTCCACATCTCTTACGACCACTAGCCAGCTTAGGCTGATCACTTCTAGATAGATTGATAACCTGTCAAACATATATTCGAACCAGGTTGGTGTAGATGTTACAAGTGTACAAGCTCTATTAGTTATAAGTATTATGAGCAGCTATGTATACTATTGGTCGGTGTAGCCTATTGGTTAAGTTGTGGTCTGGCATTCAGGAGGGCAGAGGTTCGAGTGTGTGTGTGGTCGGCGTTTTCGTTCATAAAACTCACATGAATACGATTTTCGCTGACCGTGAGTTGTTCATACATGAGGAAAAATAACTTTAAAAGGACGGATTAGTATCTGTAAGTGCCTTAACCAGCCACATTGGAACACCGTGTTATCTGCTTAAAGTATGAACAGTACAAGTTTCTTCTGTTTATGTTAATAATAATCAAATAGGGAAGCCATATGTACGGTAGGATTCAGTTATACGACAAACAAACAAATAATATATGACTTTTTTATGTAAAATATTTTTTTTACTTAACACTGGTAGTAAGTTCCAGAATTTGGCATGGACCGCTAACAGTAATGGGTCAAACGTGAGCGTAGACGTGATATTCATGTCACAATCTTAATGTTCTGATTACCCAATGCATCGCTTATAAAATTAGTGTGAAATCAGGTAGTGGAAATCAACTTAAGTAATATAGTTACCACACAGGTATTATACTGTACGATATCTTCAGTTAATTAAGTTTTCGTACATTAATAAAATGAGTGTAAACCATGAGAGTTTAGTATTAGCCAAGGAGAGTAGAACTCCCAACCCATCTCTATGATAATGGTATGAACTTGTAGTCAGTGTTTGTACAAAGGTAACTGTGGGAAAACAACACCATTTATATCAATAGTCATTAGTCAGGTTAGTGACCGTTTCAGTTCTTTGTAACATCGCTTAAATCAACCATATCACGTGCTTGTCAATTCATAACAAAGCTTTATGTCGGGGTCGAGAAACCATTTATGAACAGCTTTGATTTTGGGGTCGGTTATGAAGAAAAAATTAGGTAGTGCTGTCTTATACAAATCATATTTAACATAGAAAAATATAGTATGTATTGAAACATTTCTTTAACAATAAAACTCAATCAAAATTATTAACTTTATAATTAAATATTCATACATATTGACTGAATAAATCAGAAGAGTAAATCATTTTAATGCTACTAGTTTGTTTATTTCTTTTTGAAATTGAAAACAACTTCTAATCGATTTACATTTAGAGAAGTGTAGATTACAAAAACTTGTACTACATAAAAAAGATCAGGAAAATTAGTTTACGTGTTTAATCAATTTTTCTTTCATTGTGGAATAATTCATCTCTAGTACTACTTCAGTTAAAGGACAAGTATACTGCGTAACAATTCGTTCTGTTTTACTTCACGGCTGTGAAACGTGACTATTAGGGGAAAGGATTTATTTATTTATTTTATTTATTTTAGCACATAAGTATAAGTACAGGGAGGCACCAAATACATATGCGCCACACAAATCTCAATTGATTTGTGTGAGGGCTGTGATACTGCCCGTGTGCCCAAACCGAAGCAGGTGGTTTTCTTAGGGGGCCACACCCCGAGCCTTTGACCTGAACGTCTGACTCACAAGGCAGTGGAGCATCGTGAGGAGATGCAGTCCCATGGTAGCCGGTGACCAACGATTGGTTTATACGCCATTTGTTCCCGCAGGATACTGGAGCCCATGTGCACCATTGGTTTGGGATCCGGTTATAGCGCCGGACATTCGCTTTTCGTCCTCTCATTTTTGTAAACAACACCCTCGCCACGAGAAGGCAGTGAGTAGGACTTCCCTGGCAGAGGCTATATACGCATGGCCATGTGAGAGCATTTCGAGAGGGAGAGCGGTCTCTCCCCACTTTCGGCCGTACCAGGGCATTTGGGGGCAGGGGAAAGGATACTCGTAAGTTACTAGTATTTGATCAAAGATGTCTTAGAAATATTGTCAGCATCTGCTGAATAAGTAATGGTGAGGTTAAACACAGGGTATTAGGGAATGATGATAAATCAATTGATGAGCTTGTGAATCATTATTGATTGAGATGATCGAGCCACGTATTACGCATGCCCAATCACAAACTACCACGGCACGCAATGCTGGCTAGTGTTAGAAACGGATGGAAAAAAGTTGGGGGAGACCAAACCAAAACGTGGCATCAGTTCATAAAGTCACTAACTTCTGATCTGAGCCACGTTGGCAGATGCAAACTACTTGCTTCGAGTCCGCGTGACTATCGTAACCAATTGTTGGAGACTCTGAGTGACAGCTCAGAATCGATCACAGGAGTGTAGGTGTATACACTATTTGTCTCCCCTTAAACAGTGAGATTAAAATTACTTTATACCTTTATACGAACTAATTCTTTCACCCTGTATATCCTTATATGAAATGTTTTTTTACTACCACTGAAGTAACTGCTTCTATGAACTTGGTGTTTCTCTTGTTGTGCCAATGAGATGTGGCAACTTGGACCGATGCATATATGTGCCTGGTCCTACGTTGTAAGTGACTGACTGACTGAGTACTTCTTCAACCTCATACACAAAATTTATTTTATGATTTTTGAAAGAACAAACGATGTAAAATGCACTCCTTAATATCTGTAAAACATTCTGTAAGAATCAGATATACATATTATTCTATAGTCTGTATTAACAATAGTCTGCAGTATGGGTGTGTGCTGTTCAGGTTGCATAAGGCCTGTCTGATGTCTAATTCCCCGGAAAATCAATGTAAAATTCATCCGTTTCTGGATATATATTTAAGTGTGAAGTGAAGTGGTAGATCAGTAGTTAAGCCGATCAACTTTTGTTTATCAAGATGTGGGTTCACAACTTACTAAACTTACCTCAATTTTGCTAACCGGATAGTTATTACTAGCTCATGCATTTATAATACTGAAGTATGGCTCAAAGTCAAATACACAAAGTTTTACCTATTAAGTGAATGTTTCTTTCTTTTTTTAACTTAATGTGTATTGGTTTGGATTATACTGTTGTTGATATTTTGAATGGAAATTGATCAGTCTGCCATTACAGATTTATTTTCCAGTTATGATTTATTGGAGAATAATTAATTTGAATACATATCCCAAGAAGAATGTCACCATACAGCTCAGGATTCGCATTTCATGTTGCAGTTTAAGCCGGACTAGAACTAATTTACAGTGGAATATCCTATTATACAAAATGTTACTGTTTATAAATTCGTCAATACTCATGTTTTCTCTTTCAAACTTATTCATTATCCATGTATAATATATGGTTGAGAATGTCAAGTGACATGATCCGAAATCATTCACAAACATGTACATCTACTTTCTAATAAATCCTAAGTTGGATGTCATTTTAAAATGTTCATTTTTTTATCTTATTTACTTTCTTCCAAAATAGATTTTCCATAGACAGTTCTTTCTTGCAGTTGATATTATTTCATATCTTTTGCTCGGCATTTTGTTAATTTCATCTTTCGTTGTGCTGTTAGGTTTCACAATTAGAACTTACATTCGTGCATAGTTCTAAGCTCACAATGTAGTAAATAGTCAAAAATAACAAATTATATACGTAAAAACCAACCTGAACAACTTTATGATCTGATAGTGCTCGAACTAGCCTAACTCCTGTGTCATCTCCTTCACGACCAAGTTGTCCATTGGAGTTGCAGCCCCAAGTAAATAAAAGTCCATTATAAGTAATGGCAGCATTATGGTATGCTCCACAAGCTACACTTATTATTCTGTAGTGTTCTAAAGCAACTACCTGAAGACGGAGCAAAAAATTAAAATGCAATCAACATATCAGTCTTGATATGTAAGAATAACCGATCGTAAGCAAGGTAGACCAATCGACCTCCATAACATAAGTGTAAAAATCTATTGGTTTCCACATTACATTAACCAGGATAATAAATGTTAATTATTAACATATATAGGATCAACATTTACAGTGCCTCATAGCATATATCTTAAAAGACTAAATATATATTTATCCCCCACTAATAGTATTACAGCAATGTGTGATTTACGATAAGCATATTGTTCTGATTTTAAGGACCCGGGTCAAGTTTATAAATGGTATTTAAAAGTAAAAGGTGATTAATAAATTTTTGGTGCAAAGGTCTATTAATTATGGAAAGAAATTAAACGAGGATCAAATGGTTTATCGTACTTTTTCATGAATATGATTTTAAACCAGTAGAAAAGCGGTTTATCAAACATATTCACCTAAAACTGAGTAATCTATGCGCAGTGTATGAAGCATTTTAATTTATTAATCAACAATTAAAAATAGCTTAAAAAATAATAACAAATAGCAAAGAAGTACATGAACATACTTTTGCTAACTGACCACCAGACTGCCCGTGACCTAACTGCTGAAACTCGTTGCACCCACAGCTATATACTTCCCCATCAACAGTTAGAAAGACTGTATGTGCGTATCCACAAGTGATTTGTATAAATGTTGGTAGATTCCGGACATCTAATGCTTTCGGGATAAGAATCTGATAGGCATCATTTTTATCTAAAGTTAGCTGTCCTTCTTCGCACGAACCCCAAGCGAACAATTCTTCTGTTGATGAAGAAACCATCAACGCGTCTTTATTCTGAAATCGGATTTTTTTAGATCAATCCTGGATAAAAACAAAAGGTTCAAATAAAATTTCTTTATAAAAACCCATCTTTAGGCGGAAGTGATGGAGAGTGTGAAAATAAGTTCAGTAGAGAGAAGGATATAAAGTAGGTTTGGAAAGGTTAGTACCTTTCATGCACTAATAAAGAAGGTATCTATGGGAGAACAATAACGTCTACATAAACACACATAAAGGGTGTAAAAGCAATCGTCTCGCCGGAGCTGGTAAATTCGCCCCCAGATGCCCTGGTATGGCCGAGAGTGGGGTGGGCTTGCCCTCCCTCTCGAAATGCTCTCACACGGCCACGCGTTTACAGCCTCTGCCAGGGAAGTCCTACTTACTACCTTCTCGTGGCGGTGATGTTATCTACGAAAATGAGAGGACGAAAGGCGAATGTCCGGCGCTTTAACCGGACCCCAAACCAATGGTGCACATGGGCTCCAGTTACCTGAGGGAACAAATGGCGTATGAACCAATCGTTGGTCACCGGCTACCATGGGACTGCATCTTCTTACAATGCTCCACTGCCTTGTGGGTCAGACCTTTAGGTCGAAGGCTTCGGATGTGGCCCCCTAAGAAAACCATCTGCTTCGATCTGGGCACCTAGGCAGCATCACAGCCCACACACAAATAAAATTTTGTGCGGCGCATATATATTTGGTGCCCTCTTATACCGACATTTGTGTTCAAATAAGCAAAATAATAAATGTGAAACAAGAATCTCGGTTATTTAATGGATATAATTGAAAAAGAATTCACGGTTTGAAAGTTAAATGTACATAATTGAAGATTGATGCAGAAATCTACTGCATTCCGAGAAATGCGACAAAAACAATATCAGCTTACAGTTTACTATTTCGATTACCACCAAACGCTCTGGTACAGTTGAGAGTGAGAAGAGTCCGCTCTTCCTCTCAAAATGCTCTCACATAGCCATACGTATACAGCTACTGCATCAGATGTCCTACTCATTGCTTTCTCGTTGTGAGGGTATTGTTTATGTCATTGAGAGGAAGAAAAGTGAATGTTCGCTGCTTTAACTGGGCTGGTGGGTACAGAGGATACATCTAATGGAGTTGGGAAACCCTGATACCAAAATAATGGTGCATATGGACTGCAGTATTCTGAGGGGACAAATGGCGCATGAACCTATTGTTTGTCTCTGGCTACTATGGGGTTAAATCTTTTAGCTTTGCTCGACTATCTTCAGACCTATATATCAAAGGCTTGGAGTGTGGCCCCCTAAGAAAATCACCTGCTTCGATTCGAGCACCCGGGCAGTATCTCAACCCTTACACAAATCAAATGATGATTACCATTGGAAAAATTATTTCCACTTCAATTCGCATACAGGCAAAACACATTCACAATCATTTGATAACATTAGGTTTTATTTCTTTTATACTACGCCACTTATGCACTCCCTTTTATTCGTATTTTGAGTATTTTATTTCTTAACTTATACAGTAGCTCGCCTATGCTGGAAACCCTGTCCTAGCTAAACGATCTCAATTAACTGGCTGGTCGAATATTGAGTGCTACCAGCGATTATGAATACTGAATCAGCCTTTCTGAAACTACATATACCGCTTAAACTGGCCTCCTTCAACATTAACATAGCAATGCAGATCAGACAACAGATAGGGTTGACTATGTCTCTAGAAAGTCTCAAACTTGATGACTGTTGTCTATCCGGGACTCGTATTTGAGGCTCAAGTGAAGCACTATAAACTTGCTCTTCATCCGTCACTTAGGAAAGCTTGTTCCACGTGCGTTTATCCAGAGGACCCAGTGGCATCTGCGTTTGATTTTGCTGGCGTTGGTTTCCTTTCGCGCTAGAGCTAAATCAGGGTCCCATTAACAGTCATTTATGTGCTGTTAGATTAGAAAGCCCCATTAAAGCTAGGAGAAATTGGTGTGAGAAACGATGTTTTCGTTACCTTCGTCTACACCAACAGGTTGCAGCCCGTATGCGACTAAGGATGAGACTTACCACCAGTTAAGTGTTCTACGGAAAGCGCGTTCGACGACTATTGTATTACTAGCCGGAGACTTGAATGCTTATGGTGGGCATCTAGGTACAGAGGAGTCATTTAGGTGGCCGATGGGGACTTGTTGGTCGTATGTCAGATAACGGTAACTGGAACATAGTGCGGACTACAACCTGTTTCTGGCTAACACTAACTACCAACATAGTCATCGCCGATGTGCCACCTGGCGTCCTCCCTCTGCATCCCAAAAATGTACTCAGATTTATCACATCTTGATCAGCTACCGCTTGTGTGACTGTGTACAATACAACCGCCCCCTTTTAGAGCGCTTATATATATATATATATATATATCCATGTATAATCCCACTGTTCACAATTCACAGCCCAGAAACAAAAGCTCATATGGGCAAACTTTTCCTACACCATGAAGTTCATAAACAAGGATAGCCCTAAAATCTTTTTAACACTGAGTTCACTGCAGTGACTGGTAAGCACATATCGATGAGAGGTTACGCTCACCTACTGCCAAATACTGTATTAAAACTATCGATCACATAATTTAAATTAGACAAATTTGTCTCTAGACTGTATATACACACAAACGAACACGATCTCGAAATCCTAAGTACAAACACTTATATCTGAAACAACTGTAAAACTGGTAGCGCATTTCACGGACTAGGTAATCAAGCAGTGCCTACCACACTTTTGAGCGAAATGGATTTATTAAATAATAGCTGATGTCAGCTCAATATGAAAATCATACACCTAACTACGAACTAACACTTTTACAATCCTGTTTTGCGTGAGCGCCCGAACTTTTGGATTTGGGAAATTTGTACGCATTGGAGAAATTTTGGGAAATGGCATGACAATTCAAAAATTTCCTCAAGTCAGGGAAATTTCGCTAAGTTTTGGGAAATCCCCATGAATTTCGAGGAAACTTAGTTTTTCCCAATATCACACCATAATATACCCAAACTCTGGAGCAAACTAAGAATTTCCATAAAGCTTTGATAAACCCGAAAATTTACCCGAAATTCCCACGAAACTGGGAGATACGGTGTTAGTGAATACGGAATATTATTACGTATTTGAACGGGTCTGTGTTTTCGATGCAAAAAATTATGAAGAACGACACAATCATTTTAAAATTTTCACTATTCTACACAGAAGTAACTAATATACAGTTTCACGATCGGTTAATACGAACCTATACGCAACCCGACTGTGCCACAAAAATTAAAGCCCGCGGAGCTGACGACCTTAGGTGTCTAAAATTCAGTCTATTAACTCAACTGATTAAAAATACTGACATACTGGTGATCAAGATTGGGCTATATATCATCGATTATGTTATGTATATTCGTAAAAGCGCAAATTGTACGAAGCTGAAAGCGAAACTGATTTGGCGGCAGAATCTCAGTCGTTGAGCACACATGTCAATGCTTCGTTTAATTCGCTTTTTTCTCCAGGTAATTTTCATTTACTTAAGGTAGAATTAGGATTGGTGGATGCTTTAGCGTTGCTTCCCACACCCTTCGTTAGTGTAACTACATATTTCATACATTTAGTATGATCATTTGGGTTTCTCATGGAGTTATCTCTTGAGGGACCGGATTTGTGTCACGGTTACCTGTGTAGACCTTTCAAAGGAAACAAAAGATTATTTTAGTTATGATATGGATTTTCTAGCGGCCAAGTCATTGTTAGCCAGTAGTGTTAGGTGTACAGTGCGTATGCATGTGGTCGCCAAAACGTAAACGACACACAATAATTACAGTTCATTGCGAATGAGTATTAAGATGTAAGGTGCGATGATATCAGGAGCCATACGCGAAGCATAAAGGACACTAACTTAAAAATTTCTGTCCCAAAAGTGATCAGAAAGACGAAAGAAAGATAAGACCCTTGTAACCGAATATGTGTAGCGAGGTGTCGAGTTGAGCTTAACTATGAACACCGCTACAAGACTACGTGCCAATAGACCAATAAGATTCCGGTAGGCCAAAAATCAGAAGGCAGATGATAGTAGTAGTCGTAATATATTTGTTGGCAATCTCGTGGTATCGAAAGAATACCGAGATCATGCCAAAGGAGTACAGGTGCGATCGGCAAGAAAAGATACGTGCGTAGTCAAAAACCGCGTAGAAGCAATGGAAAACAATTGAAGACTAAAATGGCTGTTATTAGCACAGTTAAACAAACGAGCACAGTAAAACAGTCACTGGTACAATTGGTTATAATAATAATTGTTTTCATCGAACCAATCGCGTTCTGTTGACAAAAGTAGGTCACTACATATGTAGCGGTAAATAAATCCCCAAAATCAACAGCTCTGTAAGTCTTCGACATTTGATGTTCACCACATTAGTTTTAATGAACGTACCTGGATGAAGGTGCCTGATCGTGCATCCACACCAGATCAAAAATGGGAACGCCGTACTCCACATCTCTTACGACCACTAGCCAGCTTAGGCTGATCACTTCTAGATAGATTGATAACCTGTCAAACATATATTCGAACCAGGTTGGTGTAGATGTTACAAGTGTACAAGCTCTATTAGTTATAAGTATTATGAGCAGCTATGTATACTATTGGTCGGTGTAGCCTATTGGTTAAGTTGTGGTCTGGCATTCAGGAGGGCAGAGGTTCGAGTGTGTGTGTGGTCGGCGTTTTCGTTCATAAAACTCACATGAATACGATTTTCGCTGACCGTGAGTTGTTCATACATGAGGAAAAATAACTTTAAAAGGACGGATTAGTATCTGTAAGTGCCTTAACCAGCCACATTGGAACACCGTGTTATCTGCTTAAAGTATGAACAGTACAAGTTTCTTCTGTTTATGTTAATAATAATCAAATAGGGAAGCCATATGTACGGTAGGATTCAGTTATACGACAAACAAACAAATAATATATGACTTTTTTTATGTAAAATATTTTTTTTTACTTAACACTGGG